TCCATTAGCTTCCAATAATGCCATCAAATTATGAATCTGTCGATGGATTAATCCACTGATAAAGCTAGAGCCCTCCTCATCCAATCCCCCTTCCAAAGCCCCACCTCTGAACACTGCTTCATTGGGAACCAGGTCTTCAACGTATGAGTCCCATCGCTTCTCAGCCTTTTGGTTAAGATAAAGTGCAACACACGAGCCTTTGGGCAACATTTCATATCCTCACCATAACGCCATGTATTTTAAATGCCACTTGTTATGACTTGTATCTAGATGCCCCTCCAAGCCTTATACAGTGATAGCTGGGGCTTTTTCAGAGGTGGCTGGATCTAGAGCGTGTGATGCTGGGATTGATCCTTGCTAGGATCAAGGGCACTAGGATTAAGGGTGTGAGGGCTACCTTCCCTAAATTGCCTGGATAAGATATAAAGGATAAAAAGAGCTGCGGTCTTCCCTTGCTTGTCTTGCTACCTTCTGCCTTCCATGAACTGTTTCTCCTCTGCAGTGCCTGTCTGCTGCATCATCCTGCCTTGGAGCCAGCTGATGATGGACTGAAACCTCTATAAAATGTGAGCTAAATAAACCTCTCCTCCTTTAACTTTGGGTGTCAAGTATTTTGTCTCAGTCATGAGAGAAAAGTGACTTAAGACACCATTGTAATAACAGAAAATGTTTCTGTTATACACTTAATTTTAGCCAAAAGGCTGAGAAGCAATAAATGTTTCTGTTATAATGTTGAGTTCAAAGGGATTTAAAACTGGCTATAGAGCATAAGTATGACCTCTTAAGTTCTTTAACGTACATATGTAGAACAGGAAAACAGGCCAAATTAAGGTACCAGTAGTGGTGTCCACTCTGCATTATATTTGCGTGGATGGGTATTTTCTCTCTCTCTCCCTCCCTTGGACATCTGGTAGTTTGTAAATTTTTTTTTTTTGTTTTGTTTTTTTTTGTTTTTTTTTGTTTTTTGGTTTTTCTCCGGTACCAGGAACCGAACTCACGCCCTTGCGCTTGCCAGGCAGGCGCTCTTTGCCGCTGAGCTAAATCCCCAGCCCCAGTTTGTAAATTTTTAATCATGAGTCACCACTTGTGAACACTCACTGGCTCTCTATTTGCCAGGCTGCCAACCACTGAGCTGGGGTTTTACCTCAAAGTGCCTTCCAGCACACCTGCTTATGTCCCAAACCACAGAAGCCAGAGGCCTCTGACTCCTGGCTTCAATAGGAAGGTGCTGTCTCCTGCATCACACGGTCATCGCCCCGGAAGCGGACTGCCAATTTTAAAACCACTAACCAAAAGGGACATCCCACAAGCTGTGCCCAGGGCTGTCAGCAAAGCCACCACACAGACACAGTCAGACCTGGCACGGACACGAACAGGCTGGCCCCAGCCCCAGCCCCAGCCCCAGGCTATTCATTTCACACAGGTTTTTTCAAATGGAATTACAAACAATTTCCAGCTGAAACCCCTTAGAGAAGCATCTCTTTTCATCTTCTCTAAAAAACCAGAGGCTCCGAGGACTTCAGGCCATGTGACAGCAGTCCTGGAGCACAGTCGCACTGCCCCTCGGATGGGTGGGGGTGCAGCTCATCAGTCGCCACCGCCCCTAAGTACTGAAGCTGGCACATTGTGTTGGAGCTGCTGCTTCTCACTGAGGGGAGCAGCAGACGGTGAAATGTGTCCTGCGCTTTTATTTTAATCACAAGAGGAAAACTGAAACACAGGGCAGTAGGAGGGCTGTGGGTTTCCACAAAAATGGTAGAGGGCACATTGCCCAGGAACCTGTACTCTCCCATGTTATATCCCTCATTCCAATTAGTCTTTAAATTTACTTTTTCTGGCCTAGGGGATTCCTAAGAAAGAAGTTAAAGACAACCACCACCTCCCTCATTTTTCTAGAGAGATTCCTGGAAAACAAACCCCTCAGTCCACCTCCCACCCCTTCCCCAGTAGTTGACCGCCCGGCACAGGCAGAAGTCTGGGCCTTCCCCCAAGATGCTTTGCCGGGAGGTGGGGAAGAGCTTCGCAAGGAGGGCACTCCAAAGTCATGCAGTTGAGACCTATTATCCCTGGGAGACCAGGAGCTGTTTCCATTTCTTGAGCAATTATCATTTTGGAGACATGTTCCTAGCCCAACTCCCCCCGAAGTTTTGAGCTCTTTTTAAGGCATGAAAATTTTGTGCAAAGGCCTGGGTGACCCAGTGCCGCCAAAACTGCTGTAGCCTCAGCTTCCAGAAAGTCCTGGGCTGGAGGCATCTGTGGGCTCAGAGTCAGATCTCCTGGGTCAGTAACTCTGCCCTGCCTCACCCTAGGGCAAAGACCTTAAGTTGTGGAACGTTTCTGAGCCTCAGCCTTTCCTTTGTGAAGCTCCAAGAGCTGGGGTGTGGTAAAGACAAAGCACACCTGAAGCCCTGGGCACTGTGCCTGGCACAGATGAAAGGCTCAGTGAACACGGGCTGTCAGCCTCCTCAGCTGTGACCGTTCCGCCAAGCCAGGAAACAGAGGCTGACGGGTGTGGCTGGGGTGGGCCCTCCAAGTCTTGGTTTCTACCCTCCCTCCACCCCCTCAGGGAAACTCTGTTCTATCTGTGAGCCAAGCCCTGGGCTCGGGAGCCCGGGACTCCACACTTCATGGGCCCTGCTAGTCTCTTATCCAGAACCTGGCTGTGCTCCCAGAAGACCAGGCTCTAGTACACTGGGAAGGACAGACGTACACGTGTTCATTTTCTGTCACTGCCTTGAGGGGTTTATTTAAGAGAACCGGTTTCCTCCTGCCACCACTGATGAAGTAGCCTCCTGAGGACAGGAGCAGGGGCTGTGCAGAAGCAGAGTCAGTCAGGAATCCCCGCTTCCCTGAGATGCTGCCGGCATCTCTCACAGTGAGGGGAAGAGGACGGTTCACAGGTCCCTGTGTTCTCACTGCCCAGAGGGCTGACCCAGGGGAGGGACCTGGATTTCCAGATCAATGGGGCCCAGCCCTGGTGGGCCTTGCTCCTCTTAAACTCCGGGGGAGGCAGGCCTGGGAGACTGGGGCATTACTCCGAGTATGTGCGTAGTCCTGGGTCCCTTTGTGCCATCTCTCCCTACCCTGTCCCCTCCCTGAGCAGCCTGGCTGACAGCCATATAACCGCCCCACCTGTCACAAATGGTAGTGACCCAGTTTCTCTCTGGCCCTCGGCTGGAAGCAGTCCTAGACAAAGACAGGATGAAGGGTTTTTTTAATTTTGTTTTTATTTTTTGTTTTCTTCACTACCATATCCCCAGCATATAGCTCTGTGCCTGGCACATAGCAGGTGCGTAACTATGTTTGTTAGATACAGGAAGAGAGATGATAACTGTACCTAGCTCACGCTATTGTGGTGGATGTCAAATAAGATGATGTAAGCACAGCACTTCACACACTGGGTGCAGGTGAGCACTCAATATCAACAGCTGCAGATGGTGGCTTCTCAGCTCCCTAACACTGGCAGGGAGCTGCATGTCCAGCTTTGGGGCCATTCTTGGGCCCTGTCACTCCCCTGGCTACCTTCCACCCTTCCTCCAGCCTTCAGATGCTACTGGCTAGTCCTCAGGATCCCCTAAAGCATCTCCAATAGACAAGAAGCCACACCACATGCACAGTGCACATATGCACACAGACACATACCTACCCTTAGGTCCTCCCCTTTGAGGCATGAAGAAAATGTAACGATGGTGTTATGGCTTGTGTCTAGCTGTCACCCCCAAGCCTCATGAAGTCATAGGCAGAGCTCTTTGGAGGTGGCTGGATCTAGCGTGTGTGATGCTGGGATCAAGGATGCAATGTCAGGACTAAGGGTGTGAGTGGTTGGGGGTGAGTGGGTGTGAGTGGGTGGGTGGCCTGCATAAGAAAGGGGCTTGTCACTAGTTGTGCCTTGCTTCCTTTCTGCCTTTTGCCTGCCCTGCTTTTCCATGGACTTTTTATCTTCTGTGATGCCCCTCTGCCATGCCACCCTGCTCCGGAGCCAGCCAACTAAGGACTGGGCCCTCTACAAACTGTGAGCCAAATAAATGTCCTCCTTTAACTTTGGGTGTTGAGAATTCTACCTCAGGAATGAGAAAAGTAACTAAGACAGTAGGTTGCTCTCAGTAGCCAAGCAGCCGCATCCCTGAGCTTCTTCCAACACCTGGACCCCAAAGAGTTTTTAGACTTCTGGAGAGGCTCCCTCTGTACCAGAACCTAAGGAAAGATTTTCTGAAGTGGACAGGGCAGAGCTAATAGCCAGCTTTGGGGCAGGATGCCTGAGTTCTAACTCTGCTCACAATGTCCTTCATCCCTCTGTTTCTTTGCTTTTTTCTCTGGGAAGAGCCAGATCAGAAAGTTGCAAATACTTCTCAGAGATGCAGCCAGTTGAACAAACTAAACTGCACCAAGACGGGATGCAGTGTACCCAGTAGGTGAAGGCAAATATGTGCCCACCCTGGTGACCCCACTGTTGTCTTTCTTCTCCCCACATGTTGACCGTGACGATGGACATTTAGGAGTGATGCACTTCCCTGGACAGCCTAGCCTCAGGCTATTCACATGCCCTGATGGGGACGGAGAATGGGCACCTGGCTCAGAGGAGGTGATCTGCTGTGGCCAGCAAAAAATTCATATCCAGGTTTGAAAGAGGCACTCTGGCACTTTCACTTTGCACTGAGAGCTGCTAATTATGTAGCAGATCCTCATGTGCCAGTCACTTTCTTGAGGAAGTACCTTAGCCTGTAGGAACCTCAGTTTTTCATCTGTAAAACAGAGATAATGAGAGCACTTGCCTTGAGGAATGGTCAGGGAGATGAATTAACAGAACTTCTGCAGAGCTCTTAGCGGGTCCCTGGCACATATTAATACATGACCATTGGTACTCACTGCTATAGAAAATAATGACAGTACTATTGCATGATAACACAAGTGCCCTGCCCAATAACACAGATGCTAAAAAGTATACTCCAGATCTAGCCACATAGGAAAGGGCCACACGTCCACCTCCCCCAGCCTCTTACCTTCCCGAAATGGCTGTGTTTGCATCTGCAGCCGGATCTTGATGAGGTCCACAGGCCCCCCAAACCCAACAGAGACCACGCCGGCTGCCATGCTGGCCAGGAACAAGTCAGACAGGATGTGGTGAGGGCTGGCTTCAGGCTCCCCACAGTGATGCTGGCCAAGGAACCTCCGTATGTTGCTGAAGACCCCAAACACTACCGAGTTGTAGACAGCGATGCTGGCCAGAGGGAAGGACATGCCTTTGAAGAAGCCAAACACCTGTGGTGAGACCAGTGGGAGGAAGCATTAGGCCCACAGCTGCACTCCAGGGTGCAGGCCAGCAGGCCAAGCATGGGGCACTTTTCCTTCTCTTCTGGAGCCTGGTGAGGGAGATACCCAGGATAAATAAACCACCCTGGATGGGAGTGTAGGAGAGGGCCCTGCTGAGGCAGGAGAGGTCACAGGTAATTGCCCTGAGGAGGAACAGCTTCTGCGGGACACTTTCTGTCCCATCTGATGGGGTCCTGGCCTGGGCCTGTATCTGCCACATGGATGGTAGTGAGCTCTGGTGTCTACAAGGAGCGCTGGCTCAGACCTTGTGTAGAACAGGTCGAGGCGAGTCTGTCAGCAAATGGCTGACCCGCCATTCATTCTGTTTAGACAGATGGATGCATCGCCTTGTTTTTGCAGGAAATTTCCACATTGTGGTTCTAAATTCCCCAGGATTTCTCCAGAGAATTTACACACAACCAGTTTCACCCCCAAGAATATCACATTAGGCAACAAGTTTAGGTTAAGGTAAAATGTAATGTTTGAAGTGTGGTATGAGATGAAAAGGGAAAATCAGGCTAACCATGAGGGGCAGGAATTAATGAGCTCCTGCCTGCCATGCTGGTATGGGAGAGGGGACTGGGCCCCAGGTCCAGGAAAGGCCATGGCAGGCATCCTCCAGCCACTCGAGCCACTTACACTCTCCCTCCTGTATACCATGCGGATGCAGCTGAGGGTGCTTCCATAGCCGACGCCAGCCTGCAGGCGAGTCTGTGGAGAGAGGCAAGGCTGTGGGACCCACTCAGAGATCAGTGCATCCCCATGGCCCCAAAAGATGCCCAGAGAGGGAAAACCCCTTCCTGAAGTGACTCAGACTGGAAGGAGGTGTAGGTGTCAGTCCTGGCCAACCTGGTACTCTGTGATCTGCAGGCAAAGCTCTCTCTAAAGTCCCATTCA